ACGGAACCACCGACAGAGACGCCTGCTGAATCCCAGTGGAGAATTGTATCTACCCCCGGAGAACTGAAAATCAGGTTAAAAAGGGACTGATGTATGTCACAAAAACGCTCCTACCTTATGCTGCAAAACCAATTGTACTCACGAGAGGTAGAATGTACTACTCCAAACTGTAAGTGTTATCCATGGGGTTGTTTTAAGTGTATAGAGTGTGAAGAATTTTGGTATACAAACCTACCAAGGGGACAGATCCCTAATGCTCTCTGCTGTAATTGTATGAAAGAAATAGAGAAAGAAACTGATAAAACTTTGTGAGCTGCAGTAAGGAAAGGATATACTAAAACAGGAGATAAAGATGGGTGGAGAACCTGGGTACACGGAACAAGAGCAGGAATTGATTTGCAGGAAGTACCAAAGGCCAAATTAGAAAAAGTAGAGTGTGACAAGGGCAATTGGATACCTGACGAATATCAAATTAAAGCAAAAGAGTGGCAGGAAGCTGAGTATTGCTGGAAGAGGGGGAGGCACATACACCAACCCTATTGAAGTTGCACATCCCCCGAACTCAGGGGCCAATTGGCCTAAATTAAAAAGAATTGGACCACAACCATGATAAATAGAGATCTGAAGGCTCATGAGGCAAAAGGCAAAAATGAAATGGAAAATATCAGTGACTAAATCCCAAAGTATAAACTCTGCTACCGAGAAGATCTACATCTTGGCCCTTGGATGCAACCCAAGGGGCCTTGAGAGAGGTAGAGAGTTAAACCCCTTGAGGATTATTCTCACTGTATTGATCATTGCCTCCCAGGCATATAGCTACCATAGCCTCACTCCTGAACTCCACAGAATCCAGGAGCGAGCTGCAGGATCAGAGCCTATTGCTCCAGCTGTCTGTGACAAATGCAATCATATTGTCTGGTTTGGGGGAAAAATGGAATCAATGTTCATGGCACATTCCCATGTTAGTGAAGTGTGCTATGACCATAACCAATTAAAGATGTGCACTATGGGTGGAAAATTGTACTGGGTTGGAGAAAATTTAAAACATGGACTGAAGGTTTCTATCAAGGATGGGCCCGTGTTAACCAACCTTCTCAAAGATGATGATGAACGAATTTGTCTGCGATGTGCCAAATTCTTTTGTTTAGCAAGGGACAGAGAAGGAAGAGACCCAGAGAGTAAAATAAAACAAATGACTCAAAAATTACAAAAGCAAGAATCAGCAGCAAAAAAGAAATGGGCAGAACAAGAAAGGCTAAAGAAATTGAGTGAAAAATACAAACAGTTAGAACAGCAATATGGTGATTGGGGTTTTCTGACTTCAAATAAGAAGCTTTTTGTAGATCTAATGCAAGAAATTGCCACAGAATTAGAGTTATCCAACTGTTGGATTTGTGGGGGATTAAAATCAGCCAAAAAGTGGCCATGGAGAAGGGAGGGTCTAGCTCCAGAGCAATTCGTAAAATGGAGCCATACTCAAATTTCCAAAACATTGAAGCGGCCTGAGGGATAGATTTTGAATCATCGGATAATTGGGACAGTTTGCATCAGCAGAGAGGGGAGAAAATATACTGAAGTGGTAGGGTATACTCCCTGCATGTCTACTTTAGCCATGAATTCAAACAATAATGCTAGAACTTGGCAGCCAACACCTCCTGCTGGATACTGGAGCTTAAATAAAGAGAAAAATTGTGAATGGAACAACAAAACAAAGTTGTGCTGGCATAAAAGTCCTGGAGCTAACCCTTACCAATTCCTGGAGACCCTAAGAATGTACTGGGAAAAACCTGAGAGCGTAAATGACCCATGGAAAGCCCCAAATGGTATATATTGGATTTGTGGGCAAAAAGCTTACAGTGAACTGCCCCGTCGATGGAAAGGATCCTGTACTTTAGGGATTATACAACCCTCCTTCTTTGTACTACCAAAGTCCAAGAGTAACCTGTTAGGAGCACCCTTATATGAAAACCTTAACAGGGAAAAAAGACAATTGAAACTGGAGTTTCCAAGGGCAGGAGGGGACCAAAAATAGGGAGAAGAAGAGTGGCTGGCAGAAAGAATAACAGATTATTACGGGCCAGCCACTTGGGGTCAAGACGGAAGCTGGTGATATAGGACCCCAATTTACCCATTGAATAGGTTGATCAGACTGCAAGCAGGGGTAGAGGTAGCCTCAAATCACTCCTCAGAGCCCTGGACTTGTTAAGCCAGCAGCACACTCAGGCGCGGGCTTTTGTGTATCAGAACCGAATAGCCTTGGACTATTTGCTGGCCGAAGAAGGGGGAGTGTGTGGGAAATTCAATGAGTCAGAATGCTGTGTTGAGATTGATGATTACGGAGAAATCACCCAGGGTTTGGCAGCAGAGATCAAAAGGGTGGCTCATGTCCCTGTCCAAAAATGGAATTCCATTCTTCAAGCCTCATGGCAGGACCAGATGCTTGGAGGAGGAGCTTGGTGGAAGAAAATAGAGTTCCTGATATTGTGTTCATTAGCTGGGTTATTGTTTCTACCTTGCCTTATTCCATGTTTTATCCGAATAATCTACTCTGTTATCCAAAGCATGCAGATTGCAGTAACCGACTCGGAATTGGCTGCCGGAGAAGTTGGTAGATTTGAGAAAAGAGCTAAGATAACCAAAATAATGAAATTAAAGAAAAGAGAGCAAAAAGAGAAAGCTTCCAAAGTTTTGGCCAGATTTGAAGCCCAGACACGAATGAGTAAGATAAATGAAAATTTATACAAGCAGGGGGGGGACTGTGAGATGCAAAGCTGTGTTTCGTGTCAGGTACAAACAGGCGAAGTGTGTACTTGCGAATGTGAAATGTGTGGACATCAACAATGGGATAGTTGTGAATTCTAATAATAACTGATGAAAATAAAGCATGGAAAAGGCCTTTGAACCTATCTTTTGTTTGCAATTAACCCTAGTTGATTTAAGAGCATTAGAATTAAGGTGTTAAGGATGTTGCTTTTTACTTGCATTTAATCCATAAAAAGCTCTGCAATAATAACCTTTTGAAGTATAATTTTAGAATATTACTTGCATCCTTGAAACTATAGCTTTGGAATATATATATAGGAAATATGCTTATCTCACGCTGTATTGAAGCAGAGAAAAACAGTTTGAGAAAGGAAGATGAACATCACCTCAAGGATTTATGGTTTCGACCAAAAGGAAGCTGGACATCACTGTTGTTAGATTGATAGTCTCTGCAATTAAAAGGTGGACACATCTGGGGAGCTGGACTCCACCAGATGGGATTCGTCTTTCTTCTTTCGGAAATTGGACCATCACCATCTGGGGATACTCCTTTGAAAATGCATCCTGAGAAATTAAAATCCCAATAGTGTATAGAATTGTGATGTAATAATTTGGAATAAAAATTGCTGATGAGTAAACATTTGAAATAGAAACTGTTACAAAAAAACCTGATGAGTACCCCTAGAAATACCTGTAACCATCAATTATTGGTGTGCAGTTGGAGGGAAAACTTCGCCCACTGTACCCAGCGCTGTATTGCTCATTCTTTACCATATTAAATAATAAATTGATTGCTGCTTGAATTTTGGCCTAGTCAAGCTTCTTATTCATAACACCATGATTGCCGCAGGGACCACAGTGACCTTGGTGCTCATGGTGCCCATAGTTGCCAGGTGACCACAGTGACCTTGGAGGCCATGGTGGCCACGGTTGCCACAGTGACCACAGTGACCTTGGAGGCCATGGTGGCCACGGTTGCCACAGTGACCACAGTGACCTTGGAGGCCATGGTGGCCACGGTTGCCGCAGTGACCACAGTGACCTTGGAGGCTGTGGTGGCCGCAGTGACCTTGGAGGCCATGGTGGTCTCATGGCTCAGAGGATCCCAGTGGCCACTGCCAGGGCTGTGGTGACCAGGAAGAGTCCTCTGAGTTGGAAGGAAGCCCTGGGGATGCTCCCACACATCAAAACTATGATCAATAACTTTCTGCCCTCTATCACAAATCCTCTTCTGAACCCTAGTTGCTAACGTCCTCATCCTAACCTTTGTGGGCAGCCAACCAGTGGAACACCCATCATCATTATTGGCCAACTAGCCCCATCCACCTGCTTCACAATCTAGTTTTATTCCCCATTGTGGCTGCCCTAGAAAACAAACTACTCACACTCTAATTAACTCTAATAATTTATAAAAACATTGCACTTGTAAGCCAAAGGTTGAAGACTAAACCCCTTCTTAGAGTTGCCTTACTGTCACCCCACTACTTCAGGAAGAAAGGACTCAAGCCTCCATCTCCAACTCCCAAAGCTGGCATTTTAAGCTAAAATGCTTCCTGACCCCCCCAAACAGCCTGAATTGCCCCTCAAGATAACCCTCGCACAAGTTCCAGCACCACAAACAGACTCAACAACAACCCTCACCCCCCAATTAAAACAAACCCTACCCCCTCTGAATAAAGCAGAGGCACCCCACTAAAATCCGACCAAATCAACAACAGACCCCCATTATTCACCGTCCCCTCGTCCACTAACAGTCCCAACACACCCCCTATAGCAAGCCCCACCACAAAAAACCAAACCTATCCTAAAACCAGAACCAACAATCCCCCCAGCTAGCCCAAGCTTCAGGATAAGGATCCTCCGCCAACAACACTGAATAAACAAACACTAAATAACATCCCCCCTAAATAAACCATAACAAGCACCAAAGATACAAAAGAAACCCCCAAACTCACTAATCAACCACACCCCGCAACAGCCGCTACAACCAATCCTAACACCCCATAATAAGGAGGCCCCCCTAAAACAAAACATGGCGGCCAGAGTGGCTGTGGTGGCCACAGTGCTTCAATGACAATGGTGGCCGCAGTGACCTCAGGGTGGCAATAGCTGCCAAGGTGGCCAGAGTGGCTGTGGTGGCCTTGGTAGCCTTGGTGGCCTTGTTCCTCTGGGGGTCATGGTGGTCTTGGTGATCGGGGTGGCCGCAGTGACCTTGGAGGCCGTGGTGGCCTCGTGGCTCAGAGGATCCCAGTGGCCACTGCCAGGGCTGTGGTGGCCAGGACGAGTCCTCCAAAGTGGAAGGGAGTCCTGGGGGCGCTGCCACCTGGCAGACAAAGAGACGGACATCAGGGGGATCATGGGGGAGTGAGATGGTGGGGGAGGACCATAATGGGGGGTTAAGGGTGACAGGAGAGATGGGGGCCATGAGATGACCGGTGATGGGCTACAGGCACCAGGGAGGTCATGTTGGGCTTAGGGTGACAGGGATAGGGGAAGTCAGGGGGTGCCATGGCTGGTGACAGGGGGTGTCCGGGTGTTGTAGTGTGTTTTCTTTATTTCGCATGTTCACTGTTTAATTTCTGGTTTTGTAATCCCTCAGTATTTTCCTCCCCCTGTCTTTAGAGCGGCACAGACTTGCTTTTTCATTGTTATTCAGTTTAGTTAAGTACCTAGCAAAAACTAACATTAACGTTAGGACTAAGTCTTTTGTCCTTGGGTGTGTGTGGCAGCCATCTCGACGTCTTCATCCCCTTTGGTGGGGAGGCACAGGATCGGAATGGGGACATCCCTGTCTCTGTCCCTGCTGTCCCCTGGCTGGGGTTTCCCTGTCCCATCCTAGATGTGGGGGTCCCCACCCGGTGCCCTGTCATGGACATTCCTATCCCCATGCCCACAATGGGTGTCCCCAGGTTTGGTGTCCCCAGCATGGGCTGTCCCTGTCCCCAAACTCTCAGTCAGTGTCCCCACCCCCTGAGCCCTGTCATGGGTGTGCCCTGTCCACAGTGGCCCTCCCCAGCACTGGGTGTCCCCCCATGCCCAGTGAGTGTCATTGTCCCCTGTGCCTTATCCTGGTGTCCCCATGGCCACAGTGGGTGCCCCCAGCACTTGGTTTCTCACCACATCCAGAGAGTGTCCCCAGCACTGGCTTTCCCTCTCCTTCTGCCCAGCATGGGCTGTCCCTCTCCCCAAACTCTCAGTGAATGTCCCCACCCTCTGTGCCCTGTCATGGGCATTCCCTGTCCACAGTGGGTGTCCCCAGCACTGGGTGTCACTGTCCCCCCACCCCCAGTGACTGTCCCCAGCACAGGGAACCCCTGTCCTTGTTCCTAGCAGTGGGTGTTCCTATCTCCACACACTGGGGGCCTATGTCCCTGTCCCCCATGCCCTGTGAGTTTCATTGTCCCTGTGCCTTCTTATGGGCCACAGTGGGTGTCCCCATTGCCCCAGGCTGTCACCTGTGATGTCAACTTCCAGCCACTCGCAGTTGTATTTGCTGAAGTTCTCATTGGTGCGGAGGTGGATCCTCGTCCTGTCTACTTCCTGGCTGACTTCGATGACCTCGAAGGTCTCAAAGGGTGAGATCAGCACTTTCGTCTTGTTAGGAAACTTGGAGAATTGCTGGATTCCCACCCCGTGGCACGTATGCACCTGGAACACCGTGCCATTCCCAAATATCTTGTCAGTTGTTTCATTCTCTGACACCGACATGAATCGACCGAACCGGATGATGTCACCGGGCTGTGCCTTGAACTGGTACCTGCTCACTCTCCAGTACACGTTGTGACACTCTGGTCCTTGAGTGACCCTCAGTGTCGCCAGGGCCTGGGTCAGCAGGAAATGCAGAGTTTTGAAGTGGAAGTTGTCCCGGTATTCCTGCCTGGAGCGCCCGGCCGTGCGCACAGCTCGGTTGAACTCTCTGTACAGGTCATCCATCGTGAAGGCCATGAGGGCGATGGCCTGGGCTGGGGATGACAGAGAGGACACAGGGGACCCCCGACTCTGCCACTCAGCTGTGGCATTAGTCCAGGCCTTGGCAAAGAGAGGGTTCTGCTCAAACTCGGAGCGGTTGAGGGCTGGCAACGCCTCAGTCATGGCAGGGCCGCAGCCCTGGTACTGGTCATCGAAGGAGTCCTGGGCCATGTCCAGGGGCACCACCTCGATGCCCGTGGTGGCCACGGCCATTGCCAGCAGTGCCAGGGTCTGTGCCTGGATGGCCATGGCAGGGAGAGGCCACAGGGACCGGTGTGGACACTGGAGGACACAAAGGAGACACAGAGGAGACACAGAGGGGACACAGGGAGGGTTCATCAGTGAGGGACTGGGGAGGGGAGTGGGGTCAGCCCAGGGGGAAGAGAGGCACTCCTGGCCAGCAGAGCCCTGGGCATGTCTGGCCTCCCTCATCCCAAATCCTGGGGTTACTTATCCCTCCCCAATGTCCCCCAGCCCCAGGAACCCCAATCCCACAGTACCGTGTCCTCCTGGCCCCCCAGAAGCCCAATCCTACTCCCATGACTACAAGTCCCCTCAGCCCCAGCAGGATCCCGACCCAAATCCTGGGGTCACTCCCTGAGCCCCCCGGTGTCCCCCTCGGCTCATGCCCAGACCCCACTCCTACTCCCATTCCCCAGTTCCTTTGGTGTCACCCCAGGACATCAACCCAAATCCAGGCATCACCCTCTGCCCCCACAGTGTCTCCCAGCCCCCCCATCACCCCAATCCACTCTCACCATCCCGTGTCCCCCCTCATTTTCCCCCAGAGCCCCCCATTACCCCAATCCCAGACCTGTGACTCCCCCAGGGTCCCCCCAGCACCGCAATCCCAATCCCTCAGTCCCATGTCCCCCAAGAGTCCCCCTGGAGTCCCCCCAGTCCTGATACCAAAATCAGCCGGAATGAATTCCCTGATGGAACTGGAGGTAGCATAAAGACTGAATTCTTTATCAGCTCAGACTCACAGTGGATCTGTCCTGGTCCTGCAGGTCACAGGGACTTTGCCACAGGGTCTTTATCCACCACAATTGCAAATATTCGTTATAATGTGTCCCTCACCTAGTACAGAAACTGCACATTTCCTAGCAATAATTTGCATGGCTCCACCTCTTTCTTGAAATCCTTTTATGGTCCTGGAGAGTCGTAAAAATGAGTTTACTCAGTGTGGTTTTCACTGAGTGCCCCAGTGTGCCAGATAACCTCACCTTGAACTTTCACCTTTGGCAGACACTGCTCCTTCTGTGTTACAGAATTTGCCAAAACCCCTCACAGGAGTGCCCTTTATCTCTTTCTCCATAGGTTCCACCCACCTTTGTTCTTCTCTGTACACACTTTTACATCCTTTTCTTGGTTTTTACTACTTCTTTTTAAACCCTATTAAGCACCTTTAAAGGGATCTCAATTTCTATTCTCTCTCTTATTGTTCACCCTCCAGGACCCCAATCCCACAGTCCCATGTTCCCCCAGTCCCCCCCAGTCCCACTCCCCACTGCTCACTGAGTTGCTGCCACCCCTCAGATACCACTTGGGGTCCCCTATCAGATGCCATCCCTGCAGGCACCTTGAGCCTGGGGGTGATCTCTTGGGGGAGTGCCTGGGTGACTTCCCTGGCCTTGCTGGTTTGGCAGGAGAAGCTCTGGACCTCCAAGAAGGGATCCACCAACACCAGGAGATACCTGAGCCCATGTTGGCGTGGTAGCTCAGAAAATCCATTTGCCAGTAATCCCCAGGAGTATTTCCTCTTTCAGTGATGCCTGGAGGTGATGGTTTTGAATACAGAGGAACCTCTTGTGCTGCTTTAGTGCAAGTCTATTTCCCACAGGGATTTGTCAGTCCCCAGGCTGGTGTGCCCTGGGTTGTAGAACGGCCACGCCTTGGGGCAGCTCAGCTCAGCTCAGGCACCCAGGCACTCCCCCAAGAGATCATCCCCACGCTCAAGGTGCCCACAGGCATGTCTGTTGAGGGATTTTTGCAGGAAAACAGACACAGTGCCCAAGCAGCCTTTAAGGGGTCTGAGTAGAATTTCTCATTGTCTCCGATAGCTCAAAAACAGGAAGAGCCTACTCAGGAGAAAAACGAGTCCAGGATGTGAGGCGGGCTAAGAAGACGGAGCAAAAAACCACAGCAGAGCGCCTGAAGGGAAAACAATAAACCACAGTGAGGTGCATGAAGAAAGAAGACTGAACAATGAGCTGAAGGCTTGAGACGCGTGCACAGCCAGGCTAAACCAATCATGTATTAGCCTGAGGCGCGTGAACAGTAGAACAAAGCATAAATACATTTTGTTCTTGTAATAAATTTGACTTCACTTGGTCATATTGATCATGGCGTGATGTCCCATTGCTGATCCTCCGCAGATGGCATCTGATAGGGGACCCCAAGTGGTATCTGAGGTGTGACTGCAACTCAGTGAGCACTGGGGAGTGGGACTGGGGGCAACTGGGGGGACATGGGACGGTGGGATTGGGGTCATGGGGACTGAGCAATAAGAGAGAGAATAGAAAGTTTTACATCCCTTAATGGTGCTGGGTACAGCTTAAAGTTGAACGGGCAAAACCAATAAAAGGATGTAAAAGTGTGGACATAGCAGGACAAAGGTTGCTGTAACGTGTGGAGAAAGAGATAAAGGGAACTGCAGTGAGGGGTTTTTGGCAAGTTCTGTAACACAGAAAGAGCAGCGCCTGCTCAAAGCGAAAGTTTGAGGCAAGGTCACGTGGGATATTGGGGCACTCAGTGAAAACAAACTCTGACAGCCCATTTTTATGACTCTGTAGCACAATAAAAATTATTTCCTAAAAGAGGTAGAGCCATGCAGATTATTCATGGGAAAAGTGTTGGTTCCTGTATTCGATAAAGACACAATTTCATGAATATTTATAATTATGATGCATAAATACCCAATGGCAAAGTCCCCCCTGAGCTGCAGGACCAGGAGAGATCTGCTGTGAGTCCAAGCTGATAAAGAATTCCGGCTTTCTGATACCTGCAGTTCCATCAGGGACTTTCACTCTGTCCCATTTCAGCATCAGGGGCTGGGGACCCTTGTGGGGGGACGTGGGACAGCGGGATTGGGGTCTGGGGGGGCACTGGGGGTGTCACAGAACAGGGACTGGGGTGCTGGGGTGGTCTGGGGGCCAGCAGTGGGAGACACAGGACCATGGGAGTGGCAGTGGGGTGATGGGGGATGCTTGGGGGGCCCATGGGAATGGATCTGGGTCCAGGGGTCACTGGGGAGGTCATGGGACTGAGAGTGGGATTGGGGTAAGGGGGGAAGGGGACAGGGACAGTGGGACCCATTGGGGACCCCAAACCTTGGGCCAGGGTCCTGGGGGACATGGGGCCACTGGGAGGGGCACAAGGGATTGGGAGAGGGATTGGGGTAATGGAAACACCAGGAAACACCAGGAGGGGGGACACAGAACTGTGGGAGTGGGATTGAGAGTCTGGGGGTCACACGGGTTACTGGGGGGGGCCAGGAAATGACCCCAGGATTTGAGTCAGGGTCCTGAGGGTGGCTGACAAGACACCTTGAGGGGGGATATAGGACTGTGGGACTGGGATTGGGAGTCGGGGGGTCTGGGGGACACTGGGCATCCAGGAGTGACCCCTGGATTTGGGATCAGATTCCAGGACATGTCCAGGGGTCATGTCCAGCTCCTTTAACGCCTCTCCTGCAGAGCGCCTCATTTCCTAAAATAAAGCAGTTCCTGGAGTTTTTGTTAGAGGGAAATCAAAGCTTTATTTTTCAAACTTCTATCTACAAAGAGTGCTGGAGAAATGTTCCTGCCTTTTCCCTCATTCACTGCAGACCCTGAGAAAGGACCTGGAGGGGCTGGAGCATGACCAGGGAAGGGAGGGAGCTGGGGAAGGGTCTGGAGCAGCAGGAAGGGCTGAGGGAGCTGGCAGGGGCTGCTCGGTGCAATTTAAAAATGATGAATGATCAGTTTGGGGCTTGTTCCAAAGTTCCTGATTTGAGGCAATGCAACAGAAGAAGCACTGGGAGGAAAGAAAGAAAAACAAACAGAATGAGAAAGGAAGAAAAATAAAATGGAGAAAGGGGACAGAGGCTGCACCACCTATTTTTTGATGACAAACCCTCATGTTTCACTCAGGAAACTCTTTTTTCTTTCAAATCAGGGATTTTCCCTCTTTACCCACTCATCTCCTTGGCAGTGCTGGGGCACACTGCAGGGGGCAGGGGGTGATCCCTGCATTTGGGTTGGGGTCCTGGGGTGTATCATTTGCAACAAGTCCAAAGGGGACACCAGAGTGGGAGCGGGACTGGGGCAAGGAGGGGGGGCAAGAGTGACACTGGGAAGGTCAGGGGGTGACCCCAGATTTGGGTTGGGGTCCTGGAGGGTCTGAAGGGACACTGGGGACATTACAGCAAGAATGCGGGTGTGGGATTTGGGCCCCTGGGAGACTGGAGGACACTGGGTCACCCAGGAGTGACCCCAGGATTTGAGATCAGGCTCCCAGGATGTGTACAGAGCTCTCTTGGCCAAGGCTGCCCTCCCTCTCCTGGGGCTGACACCACCCTCCTTCCCCAGCCCCTGATGGATGGATCTTCTCTGTGTCCCATTGTCCCCCCATGTCCCCTCAGCATCCTCTCAGTGTCACATCAGTGTCCTGCCGTCTTCCTCAGTGTTCCCCATGTCTCACAGTGTCCCCTCAGTTTCCCAATGTCCCCCGGTGTTTCACACTAGTCCTGGTGGCCACTGCCTTCTCTGGACTCCCAGGTTAGGACCCTGGCACTGCTGGCAATGACTGTGGCAAACACAGGCTTCACAGTTGTCCCCCTGGACATGGCTGGGAACTCCTTTGATGACCAGCATCCAGGCTGCCGACACGCCATGACAGAGTTGTTGCCAGCCCTCAACCACTTTGAGTTCCAGCAGAATCCTCTGTTTGCCCAGACCTGGATCATGGCTGCGGCCGAATGGTGGAGGCGGGTCCACCTGTGACTCCTCTGTCCCCAGCCCAGGCCATTGCCCTCATGACCTACACAATGAAGGACGTGTACAAGGAGTTCAATGCCACCGTGCATGTGGCCGGGCACTCCCACCAGCAATACCAGGACAACTTCTGTAGCATTGTGCGCTACAGAATGCTACCAACAGCCCCTGGAGCTCTCCTGTTTTTGTCATCAGGAAGCGTGGAGGTGACAGGTGGCGTCTTCTCCACGATCTGAGGAAAATCAATAATGTCATTGGAGACATGGGTTGCATCCAGCCAGGGATGCCTTCCCCATCTGTGCTCCCACAAAATTGGAAATTGGCAGTTATTGACATCAAAGACTCTTTCTTTCACATTCCCCTTCACCCAGATGATGCGCCATGGTTTGCTGTCTCTGTGCCCCCATCAACAGAGGAGCTCCCATGAAGCGCTACCACTGGTGCGTTCTTCCTCAGGGAATGAAGAACAGCCCCACTATCTGACAGTGGTGTGTTGCTAGGGTTCTGTCCCCTGTGCGCGCAAGGGAGAAAAAATGCATAATATATCATTACATGGATGAGATCCTTGTTTGTGCCCCTGACGATGACACGCTTGCACGCGCCTTAGAGGACACGATTTCAGCCTTGTTGGTGGCAGGATTTGAGCTGCAAACAGAGAAAGTCCAACGCCTGCCACCTTGGAAGTATCTGAGCCTTGAGATCACCCACCGTTCCATTACACCCCAAAAAATCTTAATTCACACTAACCCTAAAACCCTAAGAGACCTGCACCAGCTCTGTGGATCCCTAAACTGGATCGGCCCTGGTTAGGGCTCACCACAAGAGATTTATCCCCTCTATTCAACTTGTTAAAAGGCGGGGAGACCCTGGATTCCCTGAGGGCCCTGACTCCGGAGGCCAGGGCAGCACTCGAGAAGGTCCAGTCCACCATTGCAAGTCGACAGGCCCACCGGTGTCGTGAGGATCTGCCCTTCAGCTTCATCATCCTGGGTAGGCCACCGCATCTTTATGGGTTGATTTTTCAATGGGACACGGACCAAAAGGACCCCCTCTTAATCATAGAGTGGGTGTTCCTTGGTCACCAGCTGTCCAACAGCATCACCAAGCCACAAGAGCTGATGGCCCAGCTGATCACGAGGGCTAGGGCTCGCCTGCGTGTTTTGGCAGGGTGCGATTTTGCCAGCATTCACCTCCCTATCCAAACATCCATGGGGACAATACCTCTGGACACTGTGGAAAATTTATACCGGCCTAATGAGAATTTGCAGTTCGCCCTAGACAGCTACACTGGCCAAATTTCAATCGACCATCCAGGCCACAA